AGTCTCTGTGTTAGCTTCATTGATTGATAGATTTGTCCCAACGGTGGACCTGGCCAGCCACTGCAGCATTTCTGTTAGATGTATCAGGAGCCGTTGATACTGCTGACCGGGAGGTGCTGGAGCTTGCTGGGGTGAATTGGTTCATTTTTCATTGTCTCTATCCTGACTTCATGGAAGGTCACATGAGGTGGAGTTGGGCAATTACTTATCTACTCAGAAAACACACCTGTATGGATTTGCGCAGAATCTGTCCTTCCGTGCTGCTTTCCACACTGGGAGCATGATGGTGGGTAAGGGCCTATGGGGGCAGGTCCTGCCCTGGGGGCCAGCCCCACCCCCTGCTTGCTTGGTGTCTCCTGTTCTCCCCTCTATGGGACATGTGCTTGCTGAATAGTTTTCCTCTATCCATCTTAAGCAGGGTGAAGGGGAAGTAAAGTTTTTTACATTATAGGAAGGTGGGGGTTTATGCATTTTGATTTTGTCCCTTTCCCTTTATTTTCCTATTGGAACCTCCCAAGAAAAATAAGATTCCTTGAACATTGGTGATTCCTCAGTGTCATAAATCCTAATTCTCATCATCCCTGCAGTTCCTTGCCAGATGCTCAGGAGTCTCCCTGGAAGTCAGCATCTTCCCCATCGCCCCTGGGCTGCCTCCCTGCAGGCCTAGGACAGACCACCTCTGTGCTCTGTAGTGTCCGGGGCTCAGAAGGTTCTGCAGCAAGAGGTGGTTCTAAAACAGAATCCAGGGTTCCGTCAAGCAACTTCTAGTGGTTTTTTCTGAAACATGTCAATTCTGAGAGGCGGCACGTAGATCAGGGTCCCCTGACCTCACACTGAGTCATGTGATCAATCCCCAAAGTCTCTCCCAAGTGTGGAGATAAAAATATAATCATGAAACCATCTCCACAGTCTGTGGCATAAATCTCTTCTCAAAGAGTTTCCTTTCACCTTCTGTCTTCTTTACATTTTTGAAATAAGATTGCTTGACATAAGATCTACTCTCTAAGCAAAATTTTAAGTACATAATGCAATATTATTGCTGACTCTAGGCAGGATAATGCATAGGTCTCTAGCACTTACTCAGCTTGCATAACTCAAACTTTGAACTCTGAGCACTTCCGCAGTTTCCCTCCCTCCAGCGCTGGGCAGCCACCATTGTTTAGACTAATTTAGGTTCCTCAGTATTGGTTATTCCTGGGTCTGGTGTCTTTTCACGTGGTATAATGTGCTCCTTCCAGGTTGTGCTCCTTCTTCTTAAAGGCTGAATGTATAAAACCATCTTTTCTTAATCCATATGTCTGTCAATGGATATTAAGGTTGCTTCTGTGCCTTGGCTTACTGTGACTAATGCTGCATTGAACATAGGTGTGCATAGGTGTACTGCTTCAAGGTCCTGATTCCAGTTCCCTTAGATATCTGCTCAGAAGTGGCATTGGTGGATCTTTGTGGTGGTTGTAGTTCTGAAGAATCTTTCTGCTTGGAAAATGGCTTTGAGAAATGTGGTAATCAAGTTCCTTGGATAGCTGCCTCTTACATTTTGTTTTTAGAAAGCAAACCTGCAACCTGGGATGCCTTCAAAGTGGTCTTTTTGCAGCAAAACTGTGGCTGTTTGGAGAGGTACTCAGGCCAACAACTTCCCAAATGTGAAATAGAAGGGTCTCTGGGTCAGCAGTAGGCAGCCTGCAGAACAAAACAGTAAACCTATTGAAATGTACTGTGGTCTCAGATTCAAATCCTGAGTACAGATGCTGGCCTGGCATTCATCAGCAGTTGTGTGACCTTGTGCATGTTAATCACCCTCTCTGAGCCTTGGGTTTTTTAAAACCCGACAAATGAGAATATTAACTCCCACTTCCCCAAAGGGTTTTTGTGAAGATGATAGGTAAAGTCCAATGCCTGCAACATGATAGGGGCTCAATGAATGATAGCAGTTATGACTAATAATTATGCTAATAAATTATGTGGGCTGAACCTCATTTCACAAGCCTGCTTACCTAATCAGCATTTACCAGCTCAGGTTGGAGGCTGGTGGTCCAGCTTTTGAAGCTTCCCATTCCATTTCCCAGAGCCCAACAGCCTTTGCTCATTAAAGAAGTTCACTCCTACAGTTCAGCCAAGACTGCAGGGCTCTCGGCAGCGGACTGCTCCTTTGATTTCCTTTTCTTCTTGCTTTCCCATCTTTTTATAAATCATTTTTTATTACTACAAATTATCAACCAACAAAATTTTGTTCTTTGTTATTTGATCATTTGTTTTGACATAGAAGGTTCTAAATACTTTTTAAATAAATTGATAACCTTGGTTTGGCATTATAAAAATTCCTCCCAATTGGCGAGCACATTAGTTAGCTAATATTAATATATATCTTTTCCTTTTCTCTCAATTTTATCTGATTCAGTATTACAACTAGTAATATTTCCTAATGGAAATAATTAAAAGTTCATTTTATTCAGTTCTATGACAAATACTTAATTAGAATCCTGAAGCCTCATTAAAGCACTAGCCGACACTAGAGTTAGTGTTAGCAGAAAAATAAATTTACTTTAATGTCTATCCTTCTTTGAATACCAGTCATTTTTTTGTTTGGCATAAGGACTGCATTCTAATTAGCTCCTGGAAAGCAAAATTTTCAACTGACCAGTTTGGATCATCTCACTACTAAGAGGATTTCTCCCATCAGTAGCAGTGCATTGTGTATACAGAGTGGCATAGAGGACATTTCACAAATTTGCCCTGCCCCCAAGGCTGACGTCTCTGTAATGTGCAGAAGCTTCCTCTTTAACATGAAAATGTCATAAAAGGGTTAGCAGCATGAAGCCCATGTGTACCTCTTGGGTGAATTAGTTTAATTGGATGCTTTTCTTCAAAGAGCTCCAGCTGAATACTCAAAGAATAGAACTGTTTCTGGAGCAGATTGAAGGGAGGAGTAAGGTGTAATTTGGCAGAGGGGAGACACAGGATACCTAAGAACAGGACAGAATTGCAAAGAAGGGAGGGAGCAAAGAAGCAAAAGATCAGGCAGACATAAAAGAGGGAAAAACCTCAGTTTTCTCCTGAGTGTGTTCCGGAGTCCCTGGTGTAGGCTGGAAGCACTGACTGATTATCTGCTCTTTTATGCTAGGAGGAGACTATCAGGGGAGTGTCTGTTTTGAGCCAAAGAGCTTGATATGCTTTATTTTTAATTATGACAGCCCTTAATATTGTTGCTTTCTTTAATGGGTGAAGAATTCAGATTCAGAGCTGTTAAATGACTGCCTGGGGGCACATTACTAGTAAGTGACCCCACCAGGCTTTGATCCCACGCGCATCTGATTACAGGTGTTTCGGTATGAGAGGGGAGACTTGTTTTATTCTCAGATACATCCCCTGTGTCTGTATCTAGAACAGTGCTGGATATAGAGCACAAAGCTCAAGAATTGTTCTGTGAATTTTGAAACCAATTAGCACTACCCTGCCTTTTATTTTTTATTTTTATTTTTATTTTTTATTTATTTATTTTTTTATTGTTGGTCGTTCAAAACATTACACAGTTCTTAATACATCATCTTTCACAGTTTGATTCAAGTGGGTTATGAACTCCCAACTTTACCCCGTATACAAATTGCTGTATCACATCAGTTACCCTTCCATTGATTGACATATTGCCTTTCTAGTGTCTGATGTATTCTGCTGTCTGTCCTATTCTCTACGCTCAGGAGCACTCTACCACTGAGCCCCATCCCCAGGTCTGTTTTGTATTTTATTTAGAGACAGGCTCTGGCTGAGTTGTTGCTTTTGCTGAGGCTGGCTTTGAACTCATAATCCTCCTGTCTCAGCCTCCCAAGCCGAGCAGCAGGGATTACTGGTGTGCATCACCACGCCAGCCCTTCTCTGCCTTCTTAAGAAGAGTTTTAGCTAGTTCAAGAGGCGGATTAAGAAATAAAGAGTACCACAGTAGTTATCATGTTCCCGAAAGCACTCAGTTCCCTAGCAGAGTACTCAATTTCCAACACCTTAGATGTGAAATAAAATGAGTCCTAAAATTTATGTTTAAAAATTATAGTGTAGGAAGCCAGTTGTGGTGGTGCACATTTGTAGTCCTAGCTACTTAGGAGGCTGAGGCAGGAGGATCACAAGTTCAAGGCCAGCTCAGCATCTTAGCAAGACCCTGTTTCAAAATAAAACATGGAAAGAGCTGGGGATTTAGCTCAGCATACAGTGCTTTCTTGGCATGCCCCAGCACAAACCCACCCATAATAATTATGTTGTAATCAGAAAGCCAGGCAGTACATAAATTTGACACTTTCTGCAATTTAAATAGCATTTCTGATTCCCAGGAAACTTGCAGATAACAGCGGAAAGCGTTTCTGCAGGTAAATTGGTCACTTTTGAGATGAGCTGGTACTTTCTGAAATTAGCAGATTACTTGAGCTTGAAGGAGCTGAGTCGCCATTTGTTATTTGATTGCTCTTTGCCCTGAGCTTCGAGGGCAGCCAATAATGCAGTAAGTGCTGGACTTTCTCTCTTGTTTTCAAATTAAAGATTTAATTACAGTCTTCACTGGAGATGAACCAAGTGTGAAAATACCTGATCTCCTCGGAATGTGGGCTTGGGGAGGAGTGTGTGGGTTGGAGTCTGTGTCCGGGCATTTAAATACTTTCAACAGTAGCATTAAGGGTGAAATTAATTATATTGTGACCAAATGCTGGCCTGTTGGTTAGTCAGTGTCATTGGAATTTATATTCTTCTTGTTGAATATTTTTTAAAGCTGAATGGTTTCTTTTCTTAGATATTCTCATAGTTAGACTATAGATTTAAATCTCCAGGACTTTAAAGGTTTTTAAAGACAAACATCTTTGTCATTTGTAGAGAATTAACTTTGTGGACTGATACATGATTATTTTGCATAAATATTTTTTGTGTGCTTGAGATGCATGTGGATTTGCTTATTGTTGGGTATGGAGTTCTAGATATATGTCTGTTGAATCAAGCTCATTTATAAAATTGTTACCTTTAGGGGCTGGGGTTGTGGCTCAGTGGTAGAGCGCGCGCCTAGCATGTGCGAGGCGCTGAGTTCGATCCTCAGCACCACATAACACTAAATAAAATAAAGGCATGTGTCCAACTACAAAAAAAAATTTGTTATCTTTAGTCAATCAATGGTAATAAAAGCAATCTATCAAAAAAACCTAACTTGATGGCCACATTATCTACTTTTTTCAAGGTAGTAACATTCAATGATCTTCTTTTATCATGGGGTAAAAAAAATGTTGGTGTATCTTTCAGTCTTCTCATGTCAGTGTTGGGTGGAGGCCTCAGACCCTGGGAAACAGACTCCGGATCCAGGCAGGTGAAGGAAGACATGAGGTCATTTGGGATAGTAGACATTCTACATTCAGAAGCAGAAATACCCCTCCAGCTTCTTGCTGCAGCCCCATTTTGTCCTCTGAGTCCTTCCATAGGCCTTTTATATATATATGTGTGTGTGTGTGTGTGTGTGTGTGTGTGTGTGTGTGTGTGTGTGTGTGTGTGTGTGTGTGTGTATACACACATACATACCAGACAAAGAAGCCATATTTGCCAACGGGTTATATAAGTGGGTGCATGCCCAAAAGCAGATGTTTATGACCTTAAGTACATATACTAATCAGGGTGTTTATGGTCTTGGCTACATACTAAAAACATAGCCTGCAGGAAGCACCTGCAAGGGAGAGTGACTATAGCCATTTTGTACCTGCCAAGCAGCTGCTCATTCTGAGATTTCTGACGGTGTCTAGAATGTATTTGCACCCATTTGAAAGCTGAGTTGAAGAGTACATAAAGGATGCTTCATTCACTCCTCATCATTGAGAAATAATGGTTTATAATGGTTCACATAAATGAATTTTCTAAATAACTGAATTTTTTTTCTGCAATTGCCAAAGGCCTCTACCTGCAACTTTTGGGGACAGGAGCTTGTATCAGATGAGTCCCTTCTTTCCTGCCTTCAGCATGCTGACCTCCTTTTTTATGAGGCTTCAGATGCTCGTCACATTGATTACTGTACTCATAGCTCTACTGATTCCCCAGATGCTGCTTTCTTTTCCTCTCCCTTTCTTTGGTGGGGTCCTGGTGGTTGCCACTTTTCTCCGTCATTGGAGCTGTCTTTCTACCAGTCTTTTTGTGTATATTCATTCAGTGTGATTGAGACTAATCTGGAAACCAGCTAGCTTTGTCCACTAAGAGTTATCTTCCATTTATTCATCAACTACTGTTAGTTGAGTGCTGGCCACATGGAAGGCTTTTAACTATGACCGCCAAAGGGCTTAAAAGGCAAGTGTGGCACAGACCCTCCCTGGTCTGTGGGGAATCATTGGGTCTATAAGAGAAGAGTGAAAGTGATAGTGGCACAGGAAAGCTACAGTCCTCTGGCATTGGAGAAGGGGGGGTGGTTGTTTCTGCTTAAAGAGATTAGGAAAGGGCCTAGGATTGTGGCTCAATGGTACAGCACTTGCCTAGCACGTGGGAGGCACTAGGTTCAATACTCAGCACCACCTAAAAATAATAAAATAAAGGGATTTTGTCCATCTACAACTAAAAAAATTAAAAAGAAAAAGATATTATGAAAAGTTGGCATTTGAGTTGGGTGGGGACCTATGGCAATTATGAGAAAGCAGGCCCAGCTCAAAGGCAGGAGACGTACAGGTCTTTACTGGAATCCAGAGCACAAGCAAACTCAGCTCAGGTTTATGGGAGAAATAGGAAGTCACGTTTCTTCTCAGATGCCAGGTTGGGGAACCTAGTCCCCCTCTTCCCATTCAGTGCTGGGGATCAAATCCAGGGCCTTGGCCTTCTAGGCAAGTACTCAGACCACTGAGCTCCATCTCCAGCCTGGCTTGTAGTTTTTCAGAAGCCACCAAAGGAGTATATTTAGGAAAAATGTCAGAGACATGCTTTCAGGAAGAGGAACAGCCACTGTAGGGAAGTGGGGCAGAGGGGAAAGACTGGATAGAGCAGCCAGATACTAGCAAATTATGTGTAAGGTAACACTGAGGTGTAACAGGGTAAACGGAAAGAGGGGACATGCAGAGATGAAGAGAACAGAATTTAGCAGCTGCTTGGGTGGGAGGGAGGTGGGGTGGCCTGAGATAATGCCGCAGCCTTAGAGCCTGAGCAAACTGGGGCCAGGGAGGTGGGGTCCTCCTTAAGGGAGGTGGGAGGTTCAGTTTTAAGCTCAGTGAGTTTGCACTGCCGGAAGCTTATCCAGATGGAAATGTCCAGCAGATTTAAAATACACAAGTAGTTGTGGGGTGGAAATCAGGGCAAGAGATGTTAAGTATGAAGTCATCTGCATGGAAGTGATATTAAAGCCTTATATGACAAGAGGGGACCAGGTCTTGCAGTTTGGAGGTCTGTGCCCAGGGTTGGGCTAGAGAAGAAACAGTCTGGGGAGGGGACAAGATCGGGAAAAGTGACAGCTGTGTGGTCTGAGGACCAGGTTAGAGGAACAGTGTCCCGAGGGAGAAAGAGACCAGAGCAAGCCAACAGCTTTGGTGACCAGCAGGCCATTCTGGGAATTAGTAACCCATTTGCCAGGCATTATTGAATGACTAGGCAGTGAGGCTGACTCTTAGTTGAATTTGGTAGTAATAAATAGAGAGGAGAGAAAAGGAAAGGACTGATATAAAAGGACCAAAAACTTAGGCTGGGGATGTGGCTCAAGCAGTAGCGTGCTCCACTGACATGCGCAGGGCGCTGGGTTCGATCCTCAGCACCATATAAAATAAAGATGTTGTGTCCACTGAAAACTAAAAAATAAATATTAAAAAAGGACCCAACACTAAATTCTGTGCTTCATAATCATTACAGTGGCTGTTTATTTAGAAACTGCAAATAGAAAATATTAAGTGTTACTGAGGATGTGATTCCTTGTGCCTTGCTGCTGGGAGTGCGGAGTACAAAACTGCACAGCCTCTGGGTAGTAAAACTGTATAGCAGTTCCACAAAAAAATGAAGTGGGATCACAACTTCTGAGTATGTAAGCAAAACAACTGAAAGCAGGGTCCCAAAGAGATATTTGTACACCACTATTTACAGTGGTATTACCCACAATAGTCCAGTGGTAATGCAACCCAAATGGCCATTAGCAGCCGACTAGGTAAAGGAAATATGCTCTGTACAAAACAAGGGAATATTTAGCTTTTAAAAGGGAGGGAATTCTCTTTTTTCCTATATATATGTATATTTTTAGTTGTAGAAGGACACAGTACGCTTAATTTATTTATTTATTTTTATGTGGTACCGAGAGTCAAACCCAGTGCCTCACACATGCTACTGAGCTTCAACTGCATCCCCTAAAAGGGAGGAAATTCTACCACATGCTGTGACAATGGATGGAACTTGAGGGCATTATGTTAAGTAAAATAAGCCCGACACAAAAGACAAAGAGGATTTCATTTATGTGGGTGCCCAGAGTAGCCAGAATCATAGAGACAAAGTAGAATGGTGGTTGCCAGGGGCAAGAGGGAGGAGAAAACCGGCTCCTGTAGTTCAGTGAGTACAGTTTCAGGGTCTAAAATTAAACAGTTCTAGAGATGATGGATGGTGATGATGGCTGCACAAAAGAATGAATGTATTTGCTGCCCCTGACTTTTTTACTTCAAAGTGGTTAAGATGGTAAATTTTATGTTATATATTTTATCGTGATTAAAAAAAAAAAAATACTAAACCTGAGCATGAGCGCTCCTCTCCTGGAACAGCTAAGAACATCATAAGCACCTGGAGAGGGGAGGGTGCAGTAGCATTCTCTGAATGCCTTATATGGCCCATGGATTAAACCTATTTAGAGTTGAAGTCTTTTCTTGGGAGCTAATTGGACAGAAGGTATTTCAAACAAGATGTTTTAAGAAATACATATATTAAAATATTTTAGAGATTGGGGTCTTGTGCAAAGTATAGAAATATTCTTTTGGAACAATGTACAACCTATGCTATTATTTCCTTATTCCTAGTAATATTTAATGCACTTCAGTTCAAAACGGTGTGCTTGCTCCTATGATCTGAACGACCCTATCTATCCATGAGTCTGTATTGTATTCAGGTAAAATGACACCTGTGACTTTGATTAGGCATATATTTGCTTTTTTGGAAATGCCTTAAGTTTTCTATCCTGATTTCAAGTAGTATATGTTTTCTTTACATGTGTCCTAGCATTTGCTTCCTTCTTCTTTACTAGCACAAACTATTAGTAATTACTAATCTGAAACTTCCTGTAGTACTAATCAGAAAGAAACAGAAAGCAATAGTGGGCCTAGTATGATAGCCAACACTAAAGTGTTGCCTCTTACAGTAACATCCACCAGAAATAGTATTTGCTTTTTGAAAAAGAGAGTCTCCAGGTGGAAAGATAAATTAATTCACCTCATGCAGTCCTCTGCCCTGCTACTAGTATATCACTTGAGCCATAATATTTATTGTCAAATTATAAACTGCAAATTCTATACAAGTTCTGCTTGAGAAATGGCTTGTGGACTTTCTCATATCCACTTAATTGCAAAATGTCAGAATATTTTTAAATGAAAGACTTCCTAGATTCACAGAGCTGAAGCTTCACATCTTAAATGTTTTGTTAGTGTGTTTTCTCAAAGATCATTTAAATCCAAAGTGAAAGGCCAACTGCAGGCTGAGGATTAAACAGAAGCCCAGCGCATTGGGGCTGTAGGTTAGAAGTCAGTGCTCAGGTCATTGTGACCAGGTCCCCTGGCAGTGGTGTTGACATTGGAACCTTAATCCTTTTGTTTATCCTTAACAGGCTGCCCACCAAGGTCAGGATTTCCATCAAATCTTACTCTTCAAGATCGAAGAGTGGGTCTTTCCTCTGCAAGCTACCTTGAAATTTTTTCTGAGTTTGAAAAATATCTGGGTAGAGCCAACCTAGTTTATAGAATGGTAGATGTCACAGCCTGCTCTATGAGCTTGATTCTTTTCATATTTGAGAAAAGACATTTCCCAGAATCAATTGAGTGGCAAATCTCTTCAGGAGGCTTATAGAGCCATTGTCTTTTCTGGTCTACCGTAGTTACCATGAAATTTAAGTATGCTTTTATCTTTTTAGT